CAGCCCTGCCCCAGGACATGCTGAGATGGCAATTGAGACTGGGCGTGGTGATGTGTGCCTGTAATTTTAGCACTTGAGAGGCTGTAAACAGGCGGATCACTACGAGTCCGATCTAGTAGTGAGACCCTGAATACCCTGAAGATCCTTCTCTAAAATACAAAAAAAAATTACTACTAAGAAGAATATGGTATGGACATTTCACTTGGCAATAAATACAGAACAGTATTTGCACAGTTTAAAGAACAGCTTCATGTGTCTCATTTCAGCATTGCTACTGCTATTTTAGGACATGGGCTTCTGCCGATATGTGTCAAATGTTAAATCTTAAATAGTTTGTGCAAAAAAACAAAACACAAAGCTAAAGGAACCTGGTGCGGAGTCTGGCATTTCTGGAGACAGTGGTACAGAGTTCCTGCTGGCCCACAGCAGCTGAGAGAGAGCACTGTGACTTTTCCCTTCAAAGGCAGCTTCCCCCTCCCACCTGGGTGTGGGCATAGTGCTCATCACAGACCGGCTGGGGTCCACTGATCCCACCCAGAGCATCATCTTCTGGGGTGTGGCCCTGTGCTTAGAAATCATGTGTGCTCGGGGTCCTGACTCTTAACACATGCTGAATGTGGTCATTGGTTTGCCCTACTCTGTTAAAAATTAATTGGTGTCATTTCTTCTAGACACTACAATCAAATCACATTTTTTAAAGAAAGCTGCCATAGATACTGTGTGTTCATGAGGTCAGACTGTATTTTCTATTTTTTTAAACAAAGAAGGATGGCAGTTTATATCTTCCAGAGTGACAAATCTTAACTGAAAACAATTATTCTTGAGCCAGCAAGATAGCTCAGTGGGTTAAGCACCTGCTTAGGCAAGCACAGGGACTGGGGTTCAATCCCTGTTACCGCATGCCGCACTGGCCCCGCCCCCGGCAGTCCAGTTGTGGTGGTGCACTTCTGTAATTCCAGTGCTGGGTAGGCTGAAAACAAAAGGATCACTACGAGTCCAAGCTGCATAATGAGACCCTATGCCAAATACATTAAGAAAAAAAAGAAAACAATTATTCCTGACTATGAGTTAGCATTCATTACTTAAAGACTAAAATACAGTAAAATAAATAAATAAGAAATGATACAGAATTTCATTAAACCAAATGATAAGAATTCAACAATCGTTGCTATGTTGTATTTTGTGGTCTTCAAATTATTTTTTAATTTTATTTATTATGTATTTAATACAGGGTTTACAGGGTCTCATTACACACATCAGGCTCCTAGTGATCCTCCTGCTTTCAGCCTCCCCAGCACTGGGATTACAGGTGCATGCCACCACTCCCAGTCTCAGTCACTGTCTCAGCTCGCCCTGGGTGGGGGGGCAGCATGGCACAACAGGGACCGAACCCCAGTCCCTGCATCTGCCTAAGCATGGGCATTAATGTGCTGAGCCATGTGGCAGGCCCTTATTGTCTTCAAATTACCAGATATAAGCATGCAAAATTGGCCAAAAAAATTAAAAAGGAGAGAGAAAAAGATTCAAGATTATCTGCTCCTATTGGCCGTGACTCATCCACATGGCTGCACTGACAAAGGTTCTACAATCTGAGGTACAGGATCTCAGGATAAATCCTGAGGGCATTTCGCTGACCTTCTCAGACCCAAAAGCTACAACTCTTGTTGCATAGGTCCTGCTTTACCTTGGTCTTAACCATCCAGTAGAAAAGTATGAAGATGAAATATAGGAAGTAAAGCCATGTTGTTATGTTGAGCTGTGGGGGACTCAGGTCAATAATTTCTGACATTGCCAGTTAAACAGAAGACCCAATGCTATTATGGGCTACTGGACTCTTTTAGAATATTTTGCTGAGTTTACACACCTATAATATTCAATAACGGAACTTAAAAAAAATGGAGTATAACTATGAATGTCCATTTTGTATCTGTGTATTCAAAGTGGTTGGGATAGATATATAGTTGCATTCTCTTAATGAATAGAATTATTTGTTCTAATGGTGTTTGTAAATAGGATCACAAGTCTGCATCTTGTACAGCAATTAACCACTAAGAAGAATATGTGCAGTGTGTTATTTGTTGAAACTGTACTTTCGATTTGATTTGAAACTGTCTCATTGCTATATGTTTATCAATAAAACTTTGAAAAGAAAAAAAATAAAAAAATAAATTAAAAAAAAAAGATTATCTGCTCCTTTCAGTAGACCAACAGAAATCAGCATCACAATGACCAAGCTATCCTGTTTATGTACACATGTATGATTTTCCCTTCCTTCTTTCTTTTGTACTTTTCCTCATCCCAGTTGTTCCTTCCCCTTAAACAGATTCTTTCCTTTTCACATCATGTATTGTACTTTGCAGATTTTATATACTCTTTCAGAGTCTTACACTAGGGAGATAATGTGGTGTTTATACACACAAGTTTGAATTATTTCACTTATGAGTATGGTCTTTAGTTGCATCCATTTACCTATAAAACCCTTAAGTTTATCTTTTCTATAGCTGAATTGTACAGCTCCATAAAAATACCACATCTTTTTTTATCCATTTGTCAGTTGATGGACATCTGTGTTGTTTCCAAGATTTAGCTCTATTTTCTTCTCCTTCACGGTCTCCAAGTGCCTACTGTTCCAACTGGCAGTTTCCTAAATGACCCTACTTTGAAAGTTCTAATGGAAAGCAAAAACTAAAAAACAAAACAGAACAGTTGAGACATGATTGTTTATTTCATTGTGGGTTCATTTAAGATTAGCATGTAGTTTGGGAAGACATCCGCCCAGTCTTTGGGGAGTAATTTCACTACCATGCCGACTTTATAAAACTAGCTCTCCTCACAGAACTTTGCATTCAAATTATTTGTGTTCTTAGCACCAGAACAAAGCTGCCCCATTTCTGTTCATTCCAGCATCAGAGCTGTCATAATCTGCAGTTCTATTTTTCTGATTGTCCTCAAGCTGTCACACTGTTTGCTATGTTTATCAAAACATGCCAAATTCATTGGAGTGGTGGGCATGAGCAGCGCTGAAGCCTTTCAGACAAATGAGTTTGGAGGACCAGCTAATACATGGAGATTAATCATGAGTGAAGTGTATAGGAGACCATATCTTTGCTACCAAGTATGACAGATTCTATTGTAAAGAAATGATTGCTACTATTGTGGCATAAATTTATCAATGCAAACAGAACGAAAAGTATCACACAAAACAGGGTTTACCTGAGTTTCTATGGTTATAAGAGTTTTCACATTCTTATCTATGTTGATTTATTTGTTTATTTGTTGGCTAGCTCCTGATTGAAATATAGTCCAATCATAGGTCAATGTAATTGTTAAATTTCATGTTTTATTCATTTGAAGTTGCATTCCCAAATATCTGCTTCAAATTAATACATATACTAGAGCTGGCCAGATAGCTCAGTGGACTAAAGTGCCTGCTTAGGCAGAGCACAGCAGCCAGGGTTCCATCCCTGCCCTGCTGTGCCAGCCTCGCTCCTGGGGCACGCTGAGATGGTAACTGAGACTGGGCATGGTAGTTCACGCCTATAATCCCAGCACTGGAGAGGCTAAAAACAGGAGGATCACTATGAGTCTAATCTACGTAGTGAGACCCTATAGACCCTGTACCAAATACATAAAAAAATTAATAAATATACCAAGCACTGCTGGGAGGACCTTATCACTGAGATCATATTTTAGCAGACATCATGGAGTAGAAAGGATGAGGGCCCGGGCCTGTCTACCTTACATAGCACTGAGGGGCATTTCTTCCCACCCACATTTGAAACATTTGATCCCTTTGATGTATGCGGCTCACTAAGCATAGCTGCAGAATTCCACATTAATTAACTGAGGGGAGAGAAGGAAATCACTCATTTGTAGTTAAATTCTTGCGGCTTATTTTTTATGTGGAATTAAAATGAAAGCTTTTCCGTTTTGTTTTTATTGGCACTGCTTCAGGACAGAAAAGAAGCAAGGGAATCCAGGCCCTCCTGGGAGACTTTGGGAAAGCTAGTGACCAAAATCAACTCTAAGCAGGAGGCTGTGTTCCTCAGGCAGACGCACAAGAGACAGGCTGAAACCAGAGGTGTCTATTGCATTTGCCTCGTTCTATGCCCATATCAAACTCAAGGACGACTATTATTGGGGTCATTAATAATCTAGAGCACTCTGGCTTTTCTGATGCACAACCATAATTTTTGGTTATTCCCAAATATGTTGATTTATAAGAAAAAAATTCAAAACTTAACTGTCTTTGCTTGATGGGAATAATATTTATGTGTGGTGATTTTGTTGTTTATGGTTCAGTTGGGGCATTGTTTTCTATAGTGTATATTGAGTACCCAGGGGTACTCTAGGACCTCCCCACCTCTTTTTAATTTTTATTCTTGGCTTTATTTTTCAATTTTTGTTTAGTTTTTAGTAGCTGTTTGCAGTACAGAGTAATTATATTCCTTGGGGAGCTAGCTTGCGTAGAGATTCTTTTTCCATCCCTCCCCTACTTGATCTCTTGGTCCCTTTCTCTTCTGCAAAAGAAACACCTCCTTATTTCCACTATCTGTCTTTTATTTTGCTTTTTATTTACATTTTTGGTTTCAGTTTTTAAGTTAGTGTCTCTTAACTTGCCCTGGCTGGCTATGAACTTGGGATCCTCCTAACCTCCTGCCTCAACCTGCCAGGCAGTCAGCATTACAGATGGGAGCCACCCTCTCACTATGTGTATCAATTTCAAGCTACAAAATATCATGAGATAAAGTAGCAAGCAATGAAGTTAAGTCCAAATCTGAGCATTTTCAACTTCCTGCATTAACTATTAAACATATTGAGAGACAGAGAGACGGACAGACACACACAGAGACAGACAGACACAGACACAGAGAGACAGATAAAGAGAGACAGAGACAGAAACAGAGAGAGACAGAAGCAGAGAGAGAGAGAGAGAGATCTTTTTCACCCTAGTGCCTTTGTGAACAACCCACAGTCTCTAGTCCATAGGCTCCGCTTACCTCGAAGGCCTTCTGTATCTTTACAAAATCGTTGACTCCAAGCTGGTTTTCAAGCAGGCCTCTGTCCCAGTCTTCATCTGTAGTCATACCTGTTGTTTTCTCAGGGCTTCCTGGCCCAGGCTGGGACCCCATGCTTAATTCAGGTGCACAGTTCCAACAACTCACAATAGCTTCACTTTTTTCAAGCACTCTTTAGCTCTCCTAAGTGTTTGTTTCCTTCCTTCAACAGGTGCCTTCGAAAAGAAATGCCAATTAGCAACAGAATTGCAGAATGAAATCACAACCTTTCTGGCAAGGAAATCAGGAGACAAAATGGCCCAGCCAAGGTAGGAAATGAAATCCCTTTTCTCTCCCCCAATTATTTGTTTCTATAGCTCATTTGCAAAATCCCTCATCCCCCTGCTTATATTGCAGAGTATAAACGCATGGTTAAAAAAATGTATAAACCTCTCCCCAAGTTCATAGCAGTTAACCCTTAAACACCTTTGGATCTTCTTTTAAATCCATTAGCAAAGCAACCTTCCAAAATCCCTTTGGTTGAACCTGCTTACATTTACCTGTGGTTTTCAACTCCATTTTCCTGCGGGGGGTGGCGGGGGGAGCATTAGAGGAAGCAGCTGCAAAGTCCATGCCCAGTGCCAGGGCCCACCTTCCTGCCCCCAGGAGTTGTTTATTTCATTTGTTTGGGTGCCTTTGTATGTTTCCAGGCAACCAACATAAAGGCAACCAAAACGTTTCTTTTTCCTTCTCAAGTAATAATTGAACTGAAAGTGTGAAAGCCTAGCTAAGCATTGAGCTACTTTTTTTAAGAATGGGCCAGCCCACTCACTTTTTAGTGAAACTACTTCTTGCATTATTTAAAGACTTTCATTACAAGTGTATTTACTATGAGGCGTGTTATCGCCTATGAACCAACGAAAAAGAGCATGACATTTTGGAATTTTATTTTTTCAACATTGAAATTTGTAATTCTTATTTAATAACACTATTCCTTATATTATCTTTATGCTAGTTTCTATGTATGTAAATTCAGCATGGTTCAAAAAGCAGTGTTGCACTCATTGAAAATGTGGGAAGAAAGCAAAGTATACCATGATAAACATAATGATGAAACTAGTTAAGCTAATTAAAATGAAAAGGCAGAAAAAGGAGAAAAACATACTTTTTATGA